ACCTCCCATTAAACAGAGCAGAATTCACAGCTCTCCTGCCCTTCTGGGATCATCTCCCAGGGGCTTAGCACCGGAGCATTGAGCTAGAAGACTGAAAGCAATGCAGAGAACAGGGCCGGTGGGCTCAGGAACATCCTATTCCACCTCCCAAGGGGCAAGAACTGGGACTAATGTCTCGACTGACATTGGCCCCCAGTCCTGCCACATGACACACCTGAGGCGGAGAGGTGTGACATCATTTGTGAAGGCCCCCGTGTGATCTGGTCCTGAGCCCACTTTCTAGGTTCCTGAGACTTACCCGGTCTGACACCAAGGATGTTGTTTCAACAGCAAAACTTAAAATATACAAGTTTTAATAACGAACTGATTTCAACCCATGCTAACTTTTCTAATCCATACTCTGATTTCTCCCTTTCATTTTTTTAATAAAGCCAACCTATTTATCTCACGGCAGTCACCAGCTCAGCTCTGCAACTTGTTTTATCATCTACGCAACTGACACGGTTCATTTTTAATGCCAAATGGAGACCATCAGGAACCAAACTAGAAAATCTTGCGGTGAGTTTACTACTAAACTCTTACAGATGTGACTGACTCTAGCTGTAGGCATCAGGACTGACACATAATTTTAGGTACAAATTACTTACTGAGAATATTTATAGGCAGAAAACTTCCTCAGCAAAAAAGAAGACCTTAGCCGGGACCGGTTTGGCTCAGTGGATAGAGCGTCGGCCTGCGGACTGAAAGGTCCAGGGTTCGATTCCGGGCAAGGGCATGTACCTTGGTTGCGGGCACATTCCCAGTGGGGGGTGTGCAGGAGGCAGCTGATCGATGATTCTCTTTCATCGATGTTTCTAACTCTCTATCCCTCTCTCTTCCTCTCTGTGAAAAATCAATAAAATATATTTAAAAAAAAAAAAAAAAAAAAAAAAAAAAAAAGAAGACCTTAGATGTTTAACACATATTATCTTGTAGTTTAGCAATTGATAAAGTAGCCAAGCATTGTAAATACATTAATTATGGTTTGTTTAGGCAAGTTCCCAGGGCAGAGTGCTTGATGTAATCATGCTGGTTTTGCCAAAGAGTTTTAAAAGGTAAAAATTCAACTCTTTATCTTTACTCATAGTATAGATTTTCTAGTTGCATTACTGTTTGATAACCACTGACTCTGTTCCCTAAGATCTATGTGCACACAATACATAACTGTAAGTGAACTCTATTCACACTTACGCATCTATATACATTTACACATCCAACAACACAAACCAGTTTTTACATTACAACGACCATCCTCTAGATGAACTCCTAAAACAAATTAACCCTTCCCTATGTCAGAATTCCCTCCTCACATGCATTGATTATGATACTCATGAGTAGACAGAGTAACGAAGACATATTATGTTAGATACAATCACAATATTCAATTTTGAAACCAAAAGTAATCAAAATATAGATTACCTTTTTTTTTTTTCAAATTTCCTTTGTTGGCCACTAATACAATAAAGCATACTAGTTACACGTATAGTAAAATAATGAGTCTTTTTCATCAATTAAAAAACCCAGGAGGAAGGGAGGAAGAAGAAAAGGAAAGATAAAAGAGTCATTGTAAAGGTCATAATGAGACAAACATTTCTGCTGGAAGATACTGTCACTGAAGTTACACTCTAAGCTAGCTATGCCAAGTCATGCACTCCTCACACACAAATTTATATTGTATCAAATTTAAATTTGTTACAACTGCCATGTACATTAAACCAGTGATAAGGAAAATGTAATTCAATATCTGATCTAGTGAAACAGCAACCAATATTAGCTCCCAGCCACAGGAAGACAATCCCCAATGCCATTTCTGGTGTCAGCGAAACCTCAGCCGTCAGTCTTCTCCAGCCGATTTCAAATACACGTGTGACCATCTCATTTAGGAAACCCTGAAGGAAGTCTCTATGAGGAGGTAATTTTGTTGCTTGTTCTCAGTGCCCTGCATTGGCTGTACTTAAAATAGACACTGGTACCAATGTCCTTTCTATTACCGAAGGGGGGGGTGGGGGAGAGAAAAAATCACATACACACCAGTCCTTTTTCTTTCAGCTTGCAGAGAGAGGCAACTTGATCCAACCAGTGTTGAAACCCGAGTAGGTCACTGTACACCATGATAAAACTCCCTAATCCCGGAGCCAAATCTCCCCAAGGGGGGCCTCCTCCTGATCCTCCACTTCCCAGGCTGACTTTTCCATTCGCTCTCTCCTCTTTCCCCCTTTCATTTCCCCTACCTTCCAGCCTTGATATGTGATCCTGGTGGGGGCTCAAGTTTCCGTTTTTACAGCTTAGGCCGTGCTAGCTGTATACATTCCTTTCTTTCTGCCGGGCAGTGATTACTTACCAGGGCTTAGTTTACACTGGTCCAGATGAAAGCCGTTCAGATGAAGGCAAACACAGCCAGGCAGCTCCAGCGGCACCGATATGAAGCTGCACAAGGCCACATTGTGTTCTCGGTGACATTTTGTTGCACATATTTTTACACAGGGCGGCCGACTTGCTATGTTCCTCTACACTTCAGATGAAGGGGTAACTACGCCATGAGATTTGGGGATGGGTTTTATTGATATGGTTATGACCCTTAAAACGGAACAATTTTAATGAGTTCGAAATAACCCTGTCACCTTTTGTCTTTGAAAAAAATCCCTTTCAAAATGAGGACTTTTCGTGCTATCATATTAGAGGGATGTCCACGGAACAATTCCACTAGGAACGGGATTTCACGACTCCCTGGCGTGGTGTGCTTTGACAGGACTGAAGGTTTTGGGCGGGGGATCTCTGACACATTGTTCCAACCCAGAGAGGAAACACCATGCTATAGGCAACTCAGCTATTGGCTGGCTGAAACTTTTCATTTACTGCTGCTCTGGGTTGAGACAATAAGGATTAACTTCAAATAGGAGGTGGTGATTTAAAAGGAAAATGACATTTTCAAAAGGGAAATTCTGTGCACAGAGGTTAATTCTATACTTAGTCCTGTAGCACTGGCTAAAAACTGTGTAATTTTTCCCCTTCACACAATGTTGTTTTTGTTTCTTCCTCACCAGTTCAGACAAACATCTGTTATACTGCAGAAGGACAACTATCTCCCAAACCACGGCGTGCACCCGCAGCCAAAGTCAACAAGGCGAGCCCCGAGCATCGAGCACAGTCAGCCTTTATATCCAGCCGGGATAACATTTCACATGTTTTGATTAAAATTAGCTAATTTGTAATTCTAGAACCTATGAAACTTAAAAGCTGCCATCCATATAGATCACATTAGGCAGTGTTTTAAAGGGCCAGTGCACACTGATTTCCTGGTTACTTCACCTCTCTCCTCTTTCTCCACCCCCAATTTAAAGTGAAATGGAAAAGTGATCTGGAAACGCAGGAAGGGTAAGTGAGGAAGAATGGTTATTGTAGATTGTTTGAATTCCAGCCCCTTTGGAGGACAACTACTGCTCTCTCTCTCTCTCTCTCTCTCTCTCTCTCTCTCTCTCTCTCTCTCTTAAACTATGATTGGAATCAATGGTGGTTTCCATCCCAAAGAGTGACACTGATTTCCAAAGCAAATCTTCCTTTAACTCTCTTAGGACTGAACCTGTACCTCCTACTTCCACGCACTAAGTTCCTCACCCAGAAAATAAGAGCCTTAAGTTCATTGTGGGTTGTATGGAAATTTTCCAGGAGTGCACATATAGGATAGACTATCCATGTGTCCCTCTCTAAGCATGGGCTTCATACAAGGCACTCTCATAGAATATGCTTGTCCTAAGGAAGAAAACATCAACATGCGATAAATCCAACTCAGTGGAGTGCTGTGTTTTCATTCAGTTTGTATAAACTTAGCCACCCTGACCATGTCAGTTGACAGTGCTCGGGATTCTATGCAGAAGATGGGAGACCTAAGACAGCTGCAGGATGAAAACGAAGGTCCCCCCACATGTGCTACTTGTGTATAACTCAGAGAGAGGGGGGGAAAAGTAAATAAAAGAACCTTAAAAAAAAAAAAAAAGCAGGAAAGGCTCCTGTAATCACAGAATAAACCCCTCGAGGGGCAAAAGCTGCAACTTCATGGAAAATAAGGGGGGAGGGAGGGGTGCGCCGAGGAGGGTCTGGAGCTGAGCGGCGCCCGCTCCGGTGCAATCGCTCCGGGCACAGCTGGAGCAGCGGGCGGCCGCGCTCGCCACCTCTGGAGCACCGCTGGCCTGGCGGGGAGCCCGGCCTCGCCAGGCGGACTCGGGGCTGGCCTCGGCGAACAATGGGCAGGGGCTCTTCGCAGGCCGCCCCTCCGACAGCTGTCTGTGAGCGGGGCTGGCCCGGGTCTGCTTCACGGACAAGTGAAGCATGCAAAGGAGCGAGAGAGAGGAGCGGCGGAGGCAGCCTGGAGAGAGAGGGGAGCGGGCAGGGGCGGGCGAGGCGAGCCGAACGTCAAAACGGTACCCAGACCCGCGCCGCCCGGGCCGCGGCTCTCCCGGCACTGACAGCCTCTTTGCACCGCACAGCTGGCTGCTTGGGGGGAGACGAACCCGGGAGACGGGGGAATGGAGCGCTCCCCGGTGCCTCGGCCCGGCGGCTCCTAACTTTGGAGGGATCCAGAAGCGGGGAAAATAACTACACTCCCTGACTAGGAAAGCCTCTCCGCCGTGCCACTTGGGCCGCCGGACGCCTCCCTCCCCCTCCATCGCGCCTGCACCAGCCTGGGGTCCACACGGTTAAACGGTCTGAGATCCTCCGGCCGCCCCCCGCCCCCCCTCCATCCAACGGGAGGTCGGCAAACCCCGAGGATGCATGCAGCCCGCGAGCTGGCCTCCCCGTTCTGTACCTGGAGGAGCCGCCGCCGAGGCGTTCGGGGCATCCTCCCAAAACTGACAAGGGCTCCCCCTGCACCCCCAGAGCCACGCCGCGGCCCGACAGGGAGGAGCGGGCGGAAGAAAAAAGCTCGGTCTTCTCCAGCCCCGGCCCCCCCCCCAAAAAAATACCTTCATTTCCTCATTGATCTCCCTTTTCACGGGGTGAGCCGGCTTCCTGCTCCTCTTATTTTCCGGAGGTCTCCCTTCTTTCTCCATTTCTGCCATGTTTTTGTGTCTGGTTTCTGGGGAGATGAAATGGCTGCTGCCGCCGCCGGTGGCGGTGGCGGTGGCGGCGGCGGCGGTGGAGGTGGTGCTGATGGTGGCAGCGCCGGCGGAGGTAGCGGTGTCGCGGGGCTGGGCTGGGGGCGGGGAGGGAAGGCGCCGGGGAAGCGGGGTCTCTCCTAGCGGCGGAGGACGTCAGAGGCTGTCAGAGGGGAAGGAGGCTCGAGGAGGCTCGGGGATGCCGCCGCCGCCGCTCCTGCTCCGGCTGCTGCCGCTCCGGCCGCCGCCGCCAACGCCGCCGCTGCCCCTGCCGCCGCCGCCGCTCCGGCCGCCGCCAACGCCGCCGCCAGCGCCGGGCTGCATCCTCGGTGCCCCGTGGAGTCGTCAGCCATCTTCCGCCGCTCCGTCCGTCCGCATGGGCGAGGGGGACGCGGGGGACGAGGGCCGGGCGGGCGCGGGGAGAGCTGCTCGGGGGGTGCGTGCGTGGATGTGTGTGCGCCCCGGAGCGCGCCAGCCCCGGCGCCCGAGCCTCCCTCCCGCGAGCCGAGCCGGGGGCGGGCCGGGGCCGGCGTGCGGAGGGGGGAGGGAGGGAGGGAGCGGGGCCGGGAGGGGCGGAGGCGGGGGGAGGTGGGGGGCCTGGGACGGCCCCCGGCTCCCGAGCGGGCGTGGCTTCCCCCGCCGCTGCCGTGGCCGCCGTGGCTGCGCGGCTCCGGGGGCTGCGCGCGGCCGCCCGGCTCCTCCGCGGCGCCCCCCGCGGCCGCTACCTCCGCGCGATCACCTCCCCGCCCCCGGGCCTGCTGCCCCCCCCCCCCGGGCGTCCCCCGGAGCTCCGGGCCGCGGGTGGGCGGCCGCACCAGGAGCTGCGGAGGAAAAAATAATGAATGGGGGTGCAGGGAGGAGGCTGAGCGGTGGGAGGGCGTGGGGTCCTGAGGTCGCCATGCCAGCCACCCGCCTTCCTAAGCCGGGGCCAGGCCGACTAAGCACACATTGCCGCCGCCTCCAACGGCAGGGCCGGGGCCCCGGGGGAGGAACCCACCGCCCTGGCCTCCCCAGAATAGAGGACCCCCCTGAGGAGGTCCCTGGGAGGCTGGAGGTCCCTGGGAGAGATCCTGCACCCTGCTTGGCTGGTCCCCAGCGCGACGCAGGCTGCGGTAGCGCTTGCAAGAAAGCTTTTGCCTCTCAATGAGCCACTCGGGAGCAGGACACCCGGGCATCCAGCCTCTTTTCCTTTTTCTTCTTGTCCCTCGTGTGTGTGTGTGTGTGTGTGTGTGTGTGTGTGTGTGTGTGTGTGTGTGTATGTGTGTGTGGTGTGTGTCACACATACTTGTCTCAGCTTTACCCTGTCCCGCTACCCGGAGTTTAACCCCCCAAATCGCGTACTTCTGTGAGCGCAGGGACCCCCTTAGGCCCGGGAGCCGGGACGCCCGCGCCGCGCCCGGAGGGTCCGCCCCAGTCCGCCCGGATGCGCTCTCTGCTCCGGACTTGTCTTCGCGCGCCCGCTTCTCCGAGCCTCGCTCCGCCTCTGCGCCCCCGCGCCCCCTCGCTGGCCCTCTAGGGTCGAGCTGTGTGTCCCTCTCCGGGCTGAGGCGTTTGCACGGACGGTTTGCTGGGGCTTCGGTGAGCCGCGCAGCCCCGAACCCCGTCCCCGCTGCGGGGGACACGCCCACGTGCCGGGCTTCCCGGTCCCCCGCCGCCACACTTCGCCGTTACCTGACAATGCGATATGGGGGTGTCCATTGTTCCGCGGCTCGTTACTGTGGGGTGTTTCTTAGGACAGTGGTGGAAGTTAAAATTACACATCATTTTTCACTTAAACGATAGAATGAATTCGTTGTTGGGGGGATATGTGTTAGCGTCCCATTAAAACATCAGTTTGGCCTGTCAAACGAGGCTCATTTCCGGGTGTTACTTTGTCTCATTTGCATCTTAGCATCCTTTTGTTTCTTAATCGTCAAATCAGAGATATTTGGGTGTGTCCTTCGGAGTCCCCTGTCAGGGAGAAACTCTCCCCAGGAGAAATGTTAAACATCCTGGGGCGGTTATCCAGGACCCGAAAAGCCAGGAGCATGGGGTTGATGAGATGTTAGGCAGCGCTCTGCGGTACAGCGTTCCCTGTGACAGATTTTTCCAGTAGCTTCAGAGAACGTACCCAGGTGTACACAGGTGGTGAGCCAAGCCCTCTGGCCCCGTCGCAAAGCCTGCTGTTGCCCACAACGAACCTAAGATGACCCGTGAGCAAGGAAGTAGAGGAGCCCAAAGCTGTTTGCACTAACACTACTCCATCCCCAGCCCCTTCCTGGACCGACATAACACACGTGCGGGAGAGTGTGTGCATTTCCCAGTGAGGAATACCATCCTAATACTGTTACCGGAAGGGGGAGAAGACCTGGAGGTCTTTGGTGGTTTTCAGTCTGAATTTCATCTAAAAATCTGATAAATACTATGTGGGTTGGAATGAGTTTGTTTTCTGTTTTTGTCCTCTTGGTCTTTAATGAGAAGTAGTGAGAAAACTTTTTATGGACTTTTGAATATTCTAAAATTGCAGCATACGTTGTAAATTGTACACAAAGAAGAGCTTTTTGTCTTCTGGAAACATATTTAAGTCCCCTCCATTTCCTTTGGTGCCAGAACCATTACAATTGATCCACTGTTGTTCAGCTCGTATCAAATAACAAGTTATATACCCCATGTCCTAAGATACAGTTTCACAAGTTAAGAATAAAATAAACAGAAAAGGTGAACTGTGGCCCAGAGTTATATTTAGAGGCAGCTATACTTCCTTTAAAGAAAAGTACTTACTCTGCAGTGCTTCAGGCATTTAATTTTTTTTTTAAAAATGATATTAATCAGCCACCTGTTCCTTCACAGACATATATATCCTCCAGAAAACTGATGTGAGAATATTGTGTTAGAATCCACAATGCATATCTTCAGTGACAGAATGAAAGCTCATAAAGTATGTATATGTGAGGAAACTTTTAGTCTAGAATGAACTTCAGAACTAATGATTGTTATACCTTGTTAGTGACAAGGTGTAGGTTTCTTCAAATATACTGTAGGTGAAATCAATTATAAAAAGTGTTGCTTTATGAATCTGGACATTCCATAAAGCCAATAATGTTCCCTATATAATGTCATAGTGTCTGTAAGAGGGTAACATAATGTGGATAGGAACATTCATACAGATTTCAGAAGAGCTACTCTTTTGCTACTATGATTTACCATTAGACTCCCCACTATTTCACTCATTCTCATTCTCTCTCTCTCTCTCTCACTCTCTCGCTCTCTCACTCTCTCTCTCAGAGATTTTCCTGTATGTGGTTTGAAATTAATGTTGATCTTGAATGTTTTGTGATCCAACCAAACATGTGACTAAAATATGTGTAATAATTACTATGCTGGACTCATTATATATTATCTCATTTAATATTCACAGAATCCTAGGAGACAGTTTCACATATGAAGAAAATAAGGTTTACACAGGCTAAGTTACTAAGTCACAAGCTAGTAAGTATTGAGATTTGAACCCATCTTTCTGTCCAACTCTAGATTAGGAGTTCTTGACACAATGCTCATTGGTTTCAATGAATTCATTTTAACAATCTGTATTTTATTACAGGTTCACCTTTTTCATATTTTAACATCTCAGAGGCTATGATGCAACTTATAATGAATTCTTACAATTATAAATGACAGCTTCTTTTTCCTCAATATTATAAAATAATAATCATTTTCCAGCCAGTGGTATATTTTGGTTATGTCAGGTTATATTGTAAAAGCAAGTCATCAGAAAATCTCAGGGACTCAAAACAACAAAAGTTTCTAATCCTTGTTCACACAAAGCCTGCTTTGTAACTCTCCAGAGCAAGGATCCTCCATGTGACGGCGTGGCATTGCACCTCCATTACCACCATGTTCTTCTGCAGTCACTACTACAGGAGAAGGTAGAGCCCTGGAAACTCTCACACCAGCAACTAAATGCGCCATCCTGCCTGTGATGTCATTTCTGTCTCCAATCCTAGAGTTAGTCATATGGCTGTGCCCAATGGCTAGGCAGGCTGGGGAGCTTAATCCTTCCAGTTTTCCCAAAGGAGAGGAGAACTGGATATGGGTAAGCAATTAACATTTATACCACAAAGTCATCCTGATTCAATGAAATATGATCATTAGGATCAATTAATGTAAATATCGGGGATCTATTTTATTCAAAACCAGTGAGGAATGATTGGTTTGTGGTTTGTTATATTGCACCTAAAACATGCTTTTAAAGTTTATACTCATGTCTAATTTCAAAGAACAACATTCAAAATCAATTTCAGAAAGAACCTTATGAAACAGGATAGCTATAATGCAGGGGTTTAAACCCTATATAAGTTTGCAGGGCTTTGAAACCTCCTGAAATCATATACAAAACACTAAGAGCATTTCCCCCCAAGGAATGAGTTCGGATCTGTCATCAGATTCTCAATTGGGATTCATGATGTATTCATTCCTTTATTCAACAAACACACATTAAGGGCCCATTATATCCCAGGCACTGTTCTGGGTACTTGGGACCCAGCAGCAAACATGACAGACAAGTTCCCAAATATGACAAAGCTTGCAATCTGGAGAGGGGACAATAAACAAGCAAGTAATGATGCAGTTTTAGATACAGATAGGTGACATAAAAGAAGTGTGTGATAGAAACTGGAGTAGGGTGAATATTGGGGTTAGGGATCTCCTAAAACGATAGTGAAAGACTTTATGAAGAACTTTGACATGAACCAGGAAAGATGAGAAGGAACTGCCCATTCATAGGTCTTGGAAACTTGAAGAAAAGTATTTTGGTCAGAGTTTTAAAGAAGTTGAAGAAAAGTCCAGTTGATGTGGTTCAGTGTTTGAGCGTCAACTTATGAACCCGGAAATCACAGTTCTATTTCCAGTTGGGGCACATGCCTGGGTTGAAGGCTCAATCCTCGATGGGCAGCCAATCAGTGATTCTCTCTTATCATTGGTGTTTC